TTATTTTTATATTGATTTTTTAACAGAGAACTTCAAGTACAAAAATTTGCAGCAAATTTCTTAAATTCATAAATTTATATTTGAATTCAAATATAATAAGATAAATTTATTTCAATATCTATAAATTATCATCAGTATTTTGTATACAATTTAATTGCAATTTGTATATATTGATATAATATATATAGAGATCAAATGCAAAATATTATCATCACATATGGATATTATTTAATTTTTTAGTTTTGCTAAAAATATATCAAATTTCTTATTACAAATTTTAATTTTAACTCTTTATCTAAATTCTATTTATATTATTATTATTTTGTATCATTTTACTGTTTTTTTTTTAAATTCATTGCATATTTTTAGAACTCTTTTTTTAATTTTTTATTTTATACCATAAGAATGTTTCTAATATTTTTTATTTGTTTTTAGATTCATTAAATTAATCATTTGTCTGATGGAACTTATTATTGTAATAAACAACATCTTTATATATAATAATAATTTACTGCAAAGTTGAAGGAAATAGAAAACCAAATGATACAAATTTACCAGGATTTTATAAATATAGAAAAATGTTTAAATTGAATTCAGGAGAAAATAAATAAATATATATATATATATATATATATATATATATATATATATATATATTAGGGTGGTCCTTAAAATGGTCATTTTCGAATTTCCTTGCTCCCAGGGGCTCAAATGGTTCCAAATAGATAAAAAACAATTCTCTGAAAGTTTTAGCTCTTAATATTAACGTTTAGATAGAGCGCAATTCAATCAAAATTTTGTATGGAAATAGCATGGAAAAATTTTCAAAAATTTTAAAAATGTTTTTTAAATGTAATTTAGCGAACAAATGAATGAATAAAACTCATTCATTTGTCGCTAAGTTATACCTAAAACATTTTTTTTAAATTTTCAAAAATTGTTTCATGCTCTTTCCATACAAACTTTGATTGAATTGCGCACCGTCTAAAAGTTAATATTAAGAGCTAAAACTTTCAGAGATTTTTTTCGTCTAATTTCTTTTTTATTAAAATCTTTTTTTTAAATACATTTAAATATACATCTGTTTAATTTTTTTCTAATATATGATTAATTTCATTTTATATTTATACTGCAAGTATTATATGTAATTAATATCTACATATATCAACATTAAATGAAAATGTTACAGGAATTACGAGAAATATTAGACACAATATTCGAAAGTTAAAATTCATCTATATATGCATTTGTTAACTAATAAGATGTTTATATGACATTCTATAAAGCCTGAAATATATGGATTTAACTCTGCTGATATTTTACGGTATTTTACGGCATAAGAATATTTTTTATGACTACTCGTAATTTATTTTCAGGATAAATATGCAGAATTTACAACAAAATGGTGTTCAATATATATTTTATAATAAAATACTTCATGTATTAGATTTATATGGTTCAACATCTTTTTTTTTTTAATTGTTATTTGCGGATTAAGCTTTCTGTCGCCCTATGCCTTATGTGACCAGGCGCCCTTTTTAATAGAGAGACTTAGATGTAATTTCTAATATTGCCTAAGGAAAATCACAGTAATTGCAAAAGAATTGAAAATGAAATTTTTTACATATATTCACGTTTCAGAAACTTCTAAACATTTTGAAATACCTTAAAATAAATTCATGTGTGTGTTTTTATATATTTTTTTTTAAATTACTTAGATAGAATTTCTAACATTGTGTAAGGAAAATTATAGTAATTGCAAAAGAATCGAAAATGAATTTTTTTGCATATATTCACGTTTTAAAAACTTCTGAACATTTTGGAATACTTTAAAATAAATTCATGTATGTGTATGTATTTATGTTCGATTCCCAATGATAAGACGTTGTGATTAGTTTTAGGCAAAGGCATGTCCAGCCTTTACAACAAGTGCAAAAATTGCTATTCAGTTTTTGAAATAATTGCAGAGACCGATTTCCGAATAATTCAAAAAACATTTTACTTGTATGAGATGATGAGGAATGATGAATTAACTTTAGTTAATTTAGAAATGCAGGTCCAGCAATTCGCGGAGATCTAGAAAAAAAAACTTAACTAGTGTATGCATGGGGTAAGGTGCTTCAAGCCAAGTAACTTTCCAAAAGAGAACCAAATGAAATGAGTAACTTTCAACCTTGTGCAAAAATTTTGAGCTTAACTGGTGGTCAAATAGACTAATATGATGACTTGATGATGAACATTGTATTTAATGTTCGAATGCTTTTTTTCAGAGGCGAAATTCGTGCAGCTATTATGATTATTATAAAATTACTATCCGTTTAATACTAATTATGAATAAGCTTCACAAGAGCCTGAAATAATATCTCTTATTGATTACGGCTTGCTTATGAATGAATGAATGAATAAATAAATAAATAAATAAACCAAATTTGCGTGAGTACGTGTGAGCCGAAAAACAGTTCGAAATATATTATTCCCAACCAATATCTTTCATTCTTTCTCATTAGTTTCTGGTAAAGACCGGCCGGACGTTTATTATGTATTATGTACGTACCCCAATCTTTTAATGTTGCACATAAATTTTTTAAGGCTTCTGTATAAAGAGGAATACCGAAAATTTTCTTTGATTTAATTATCTTTGTTGTATAAATTTAAAGAATAAAAGCATCCTTTGAAATTAATAGTTTATGTTTTCTTTTGACATTTTATCAAGGATAACTTCCTGATATCACTTTTTTTTGTTCCATTATATTATTATTTTGAAAATCACTAAAAATTTTAAATTTGCATTTTAACGGCAGAATAATTTTAGCAATAAAATAAATATCACTTTTTTGAAAACTGTAATTATTTTGAACTTATATTTTTGTAACCCTAACTAATTTAAATCATCAATTTGTTTATTATGTAATTATAAGAAAAATCTAGAAATTAAAAGTTTTTTCTATTATTTTATTGGAAAAATATTGCCTCTTGAATAAAAACATTGATTTTTATCTAAACCCCCTATATTTCAACTATATATAATTAATATATAACATTTATTCACATTTTTAATATTATTTAAAAACGAATTTTATTTTAGTTAAAGCGGCTACACTAATGATAATAAACCGACGCTTCATAAATTTTAGAAAACCGTAAAACAGTTCTCAATATCAACTACGCTTTAGAAGCAAAGGGATCAAAATGAATGCAGTATTGGCGTATAAATTTTTTAAAGAAATAAATTTTTTCTATAAAATAAATCTACAAGGATATTTGCAAACAAAGTTTAGAGAACTATTTGGAAAAATTGTACTATGCAAATATTCGGCACCGAAAGGCTAGGAAACCAATAAAAACATAAAATCAAAAGATCTTCAGAAAATCCAAAGTTAAAAAATTATCTATGGTGTTTGAAAACTTATCTTGTTCTTCTTAATAATTTTAATTAATTAGTTTTCTAAAAAAAATTTTTCTTAAAAAAGATGGATTTTTTTTTTAATTTTTAATTTGTTTTTTTTAATTATTTAATGTCTTAAATCCTCCCTAAAGCCAAAATTTTTTTAAATGGTTAGATAATTAGGATCTTTCCAGCTTAGTTTTTTTTAACAGAAGAACGCATCTTCTATTAAAAATCTTTTTTAAATATCTCAACAAAAATTATTTCTACTTTATAGCACATATCAAATCACTATAAATATGAAAATAGCCTATTTTCATAAAACATACACTAGATTACTTTTACAACTCAAATATATAATTTTATTATTACCTTTTTTAAAAATTTTCAAATTAACCTTCATCAAGACAACAATGAAGAGATATTCTACCAAAATTAGGGTTTTTGCTGCAATTTGTTTATATTTTTAAAATATTGTAGACATTACGAATCTTAAACATATAAAAGACAAATTTAATTATATTTGTTGTATAAACTTTTTAATTATTACGTCAATGATATTATTATAAATAAACAAATAAAAAATAAACATAATTCTTGGAAGAAAAACAGATAAAGATGTAAATGTAATTTTTAGATTCGAAATATTGAAATCAAGCAACATTCAGCGTTTCAGGACATATTTTAATTGATTTTAAGTTTATTCAAACATTTTTAGGTTATTTATATTTATATTTTGAAGTATATATTGCATTTATTTATTTTTTCATATTTTATATTTATTTTTGATAAATAATATTTTAATGAAAACTAAACTGTTTAGGTTTAAATAATTTTTTGGGTTCGATTTCGGCAAATCCAGTAGTCTCATCTTTAGAAATTTCATCAGAATTTGCAGGTACAGGTTGTCTAGTGTTAGAAATATCATTGGAACTTCTTAGTCCATCAAATGGATTATTTGAAGGCAAACTTTGTTTGCTACTAATTGAACCTGGTATGTCTGTAGGTATTTGGATTTTGGTCGAGGATTTTTTGTAACCAAATGATTCGAATCTATTTTTTGGAGCTAAAGAGTTTTTAGCATTAAAGTTGTCTGTTTCAATAGATTCATTTGGCATCATTTTGCTCTCATTTTTTTCAACATTTGCTGATTTATTGGTTTTCTTGGTCCTGATTTTCCCAATCAACTCATCGGTTTCATCAAAATTATTCACAACTCCACAATCTTGTTCACTCGGAACCTTTTTAAGATTAATACTCTTACAAAATTTAGAACCACCCTTTGCTGGTTTTGTATAAGTCTTAGATGGCTTTTTAATAGAATGTTTAGAAATTGATTTATCAGGAATGTTTTCTATGAAGTTAGTAAAACTGCGATTTGTTTTGGCTTTAGATTTTTTGCTCATTTCTGGTTCCAAGTTATCCAAATCCTGTCTAGTTCCAAAATCAGGCTGATTGGTTGGTGATAATTTGCTGGAACTTGGTTGTATACTGTTTTGGTGTTTTTTGGTGTCACCAATTTGATCAAAATCCATCTTCAATTTTTTAGCACAACCTGGTACATGAAGGTCTTCATCATTTTGCTTTTGGTCTTTACAAATATTTTCTGAATTCGTCAATTTAGCATCCATTTTTTATTTCCAACAGTACTTTTAACAATATTGTCATTTCCCACCTTTTTAGAAGTCGAGTTATCTATAAAGTTAGTAAAACTTCGATTTGCCTTGGCTTTAGATTTTTTGCTGATTTCTGGTTGCAAGATATCCAAATCCAAATTATTTCCAGGCTGGTTGGTTGGTGATAATTTGTTGGAACATGGTTTCACAGTATTTTTGGATTTGTTATCTGTCTGGGCTTTGGCTTTATTGCTGTTATCTGGTACTAAGTTGTCCATTTTCAGGCTGGTTTCAAATTCAGGCTGGTTGGTAGACAATAATTTGCTGGAACATTTTTTCACAGTATTTTTGGATTTATTATTTTTCGAAGAATCAATTAAATTGGTGTTTACGTCACCAATTTGATCAAAATCCATCTTCAATTTTTTTGCAGAACCTGGTACATCAAAGTCTTCAGCATTCTTCTTCTGGATATTTTCTGAATTTGTTAATTTAACATCCAAATTTGTATTTTCAAGAGCAGTATTTTTAGTACCTTTAGCAATATTGTCACTTCCCACCTTTTTGATATTATTAAATTTGTTCAAAAAGCCACCAGAATCATCATCATCATCAAATATATCAATATTGATACTACCATCGAATGCAAACTCTGTTAAACCATTGTCGACTGGTGGTTTGTTGCCAGATTTTGTATTGTCATTGGATTTTTTTGGACTTTTGGAGAAATTCTTGCGCAGTTTTGCCAACAAATCATCGAAATTGTTGTTAGATTTATTTAACAAATCATTTGAAGTTAAAATGGAATCACTTCTATTTTTCGATGAATTGGAATCCTCCAAACTTTTATTCGGGGTTTCTTTTATAAGACTAAGACTCTTACTGTCAAATCTATCTTCAGTAACTTTGCATAGTTTTGCCAAAAAATTATTGGAGTTGTTATTAGGTTTACATTTGTTTAACAAATCATCTGAAGATGAAGTTACAATTGAATCATTATTACTTTTCAATGCATTGGAATCCTCAGGAGTTTTATTCGGGGTTTGTTTTGTAATACTAAGACTCTTACTGTCAAAAATATCTTCAGTAATTTCTTTGGTAGCTTCACATTTATTTCTTAAAATTTGGGCTGAAACAGTACTGCTTAAGGCATTGATTTTAGATTTATCCTGGTCTTCAATAAAATTTGTCGTCTTGTTTAGAAAAATATGTTTAACCAAATCCTCTTTATCGGCTCCAGGATCATCCATTGCTAAATTTTTATTATGATTAAGCATTTCTTTCATAAAATTAGGCTTATTATTTAAACTAACATCTGTGATAGAAATATTTTTGGTAACTCCATCATTAGATTTACTGATAGATTCACCAGAAGATTGTGTAGAACCTTGTAAATTGTTTACCATACCACTATCACTGTTTTTATCAAGACTTGTCTGGCTACGATTGAAAAGTTCTTGTATAAAATTAGGCTTTTTATTTAAACTTTTGGTAACTCCATCATTATCCTTAGATTTATTAGCAGATTCACCAGAAGATTGTGTAGAAACATTTAAATGTTTGACCATAGAACTATAACTGGTTTTACCAAAACTCGTCTGGCTACGATTGAAGAGTTCTTTTATATAATTAGGCTTATCGTTTAAACTTTTGGTTATTCCATCATTACATTTAGATTTATTGATAGATTCACCAGAAGATTGTGTAGAACCATCTAAATGTTTGACCATACTACTATTACTGTTTTTATCAAGACTTGTCTGGCTACGATTGAGAAGTTTTTTTATAAAATCAGGCTTATCATTTAGACTTTTAGTAATTCTACAATTATCTTTAGATTTATTAGCAGATTCTCCAGAAGAATGTGTAGAACCTTGTAAATTGTTTACCATACTACTATTACTGTTTTTATTAAAACTTGTCTGGCTACAATACAAAAGTTCTTTTATAAAATTAGGTTTGTTGCTTAGCCCAACCATATCCTCCTCATCCTTAGATTCAAACCTGGATTTGCAAAGTGTTTGTGAAGACAATATATTATTACTACCACAAGATTCATCCTCCCGTTGATCTTTTACCAAATCCTCCAAATCGAGTTTGCCCAAAATCTGTCGATGCAGCCTCTCGTAGTCTTCGATTTTTTTGGCTTTAATGGGATCCTGCAAGTCGACCATGGAAATATGTCCACTCGAGTTATCCGATTGCATAGAGTATTCCATCAGGATGATTGTGGTGACTGCATCGACTGCCTCAACGTGTTTCTTGAACATGAGACGAGCGTGGGCTTGCGATAACCTTTTGGGATCATAATAATTGGGTTAGAGGAGGGTATTAGTGGTAGTATGTGGGTTGGCAACTAAGTAATAACTAGTGGTGTATGGCATCGTGCCTTAAGGCTAATTGCTGGAACTTCCCGTACCGTAATGAAATATTCGAGAAATTTTAAACGTTTCCAAATATATTATTACAAATACTGTAACTTTCATTATTTTTGCTGTCTTATTGTTATATCTGAGCAAATCAGATAGCAAATGTAAATCATAAATCAATTTATCTCCAGAACATTAACAATCGTCATTTAATTTCGAATTCAATTTCATTAAAAAAATAGTTGCCTAATCTAATTTACACAAAATTGAAAAAGTGCTCCCGTATAGTCACAGTCTAAATGCATTTGCAAATAATTCTGTGCGGCACTTTCACTTATACTGTGCTTAGCTTGGCGGCATTTTCATATTTTTCAATAGTTTTTTCACAAAATTGGAAAAATGCTCCAGTACATAAACAGTCTAAACGCACTTGGGTAAACATTTGTACCAGAGTGGCGCTTAGACTGTGCTTAGCCTGGGTAATTTTTTGAATTTTTAATCCAAAATTACAAAAATATTTTATGGAAAATAAAAAAAGATGTAATCATTTTTCAACTTTTTTTTTAACTTCCCGTAGGGTAAGTTATTGTAATGGGCCGAAAATAGGAATTGAAAATTTTTACATTTCTCGACGTTTTGAAGGTTTCTGAACGTTTTGGCATACCTCAGAAAAAATGGATGTGTGTGTGTGTGTGTGTGTGTATGTATGTATGGATACAAATTTCCAGTCACGTTTTAGGGCGCACGGATCAACCGATTTGAATGGTTCAAAAAACATTCGATTCCTATTGATAGGGAAAAGAGCTGATTAGTTTTTGGCAAAGGCAGGTCCAGCCGTTTCGGAGATACGGAGCAAAGAGTGCAGAAAATAGAAATCGAGTTTTTGAGAGAACGGAGTATCCGATTTGAATGATCTAGAAAACATACAATTAGTAATGATTGGGAGAAGAGTTTATTAGTTTTTGGCATAGCTGGGCACCGTTAATCAAATAGTTAACTTCGTTAATCGTTAATCCGCTACAAAAAAAGTTAACTTCGTTAAACGTTAAAGCGTTACATTTCGGAAGAATTAACGCAAGTTAACGTTAATCGTTAATCCGTTAATATGTGTAAAATTACATTTTTATATCGTTGCGTTAGTGAACTTAAAAAACTTATTAACTTCCCGTAGGGCAAGTTATAGTAATCGCAAAAAAATCGAAAATGAAAATTTTTATATATCTTTACGTTTCAAAGGTGCCTGAACATTTTGGCATACCTTAAAAAAAATGGATGTATGTGTGTGTGTGTGTGTGTTGGTATGTATGTATGTATGTACGTGTGTGTATGTATGTGCGGATACAAATTTTCGTCGACGATTTCGGGAACACGGATCAACCGATTTGAATAATTTAAAAAACATTCGATTCGTATTGATAAGGAGACGTGCTGATTAGTTTTTGGCGAAGGCAGGTCTAGCCGTTCCGAAGATACGGGGCAAAAAGTGCCGAAAACGGTAACTCAGTTTTTAAGAGAACGGAGCGTCCGATTTGAATAATTCAAAAAACGTTTCACTTGTATTGACAAGATGAAAAATCGATAAAATTTTCATGAAGGTAGGTCTAGCGGTTTCGGAGATATGGAGGAAAAAGTAAAAAAATGAGCCATTTGGCGGTCAAAAATGATCATTAGACATATGCACATCAAATTATCAGATATTTTATAGAGATTTTAACAATAAGTATACATTTTGTTAACATTCCTATGGGTTCCGTACCAATGCTTATGCGTTAGACAGCGACGCGGCGCTTACGCGCTTTATATTTTGTCCCTATGCAGTTAAAGCAGTACGATTGCTTTGAAAAAAAAGTTCAGATCTTCCACAATATGTCAAAATAAAGAAAAAAAAAATTTTTTTTCAAAAAAAAAAAAATTAAAAAAAAACTTTTTTTTCAAAAAAAAGTAATTTTTTGTCCAATTTATAGTTTCTCAAAAATCTTATTTTTTCAAAGTAAATTTTTTTCAAAAATGTTAATCGTTTTTAAAAAAATAATAATTTTTGGTACGGGAAGTTCCAGCAATTTGCCTTAAGGCACAACGCCTTAATTGCCTTAAGACAGAATTCCACTTACAGCTAGTTCTTTAAAGAGTTTGTAGCTCTTTGGTTTTTCTATAGACTGAGTGACAGAATTGAAAAAGTCTTCCTTCTCGTCATCATCGTTGTTACTCGCATTGCTCCCTCCGCCATTTAAACTATCTCTGTCCTTCGAATTTTTCGCTACTTCTTGCCATAAGGCATCTTCTACCTTTTTTTCCGTGCATTTTCTTACTGCATTCCTCTCTACTGCTGTCATACGTTTCCAGCCACATTAACCGAAACTTTGGGTAAAATGCCGCGGCAAGTTGGCACTGTTCATCATTCAGGTAGTAGTCCAAATCTTTTCTCTATGCCGTTTAATAAGGCATTGGCTAAAGCCTATGGCTAAAGCTGTGCCGTGCGGTAAATAGTAGGCATTGGATTAACGATTAACGGACTTCTGACATTTTAACGGAAGTTAACGTGTCCGTTAACATTTTTAAAAGTTAACTTAAAAGTTAATCCGTTAATCAAAATGTTAACTTCGTTAATTAACGATTAACGGATTAACGAGTTAATGCCCAGCTATGGTTTTTGGCAAAGGCAGGCCCAGCCATTTCGAAGATACGGAGCTAAATATGTAAAAAATGGCAGTTTTTGAGAGAACTAAGCGTCCGATTTAAATGATTCAAAGAACTTTCTGCTTGTCTTAACAAAATAATTTATTTTGGAAAAAAAAAATTTGTTCCTTTTTTTTTTTTTTTAGTTTTTTGTATATCGAAAATATTTCAGATTTTATTTTATTATTTTATATTAGATAATGATACAATATTTATAATAATCTATTTGAAAACATTCAGTATTCAACGGGAAGTTCCAGCAATTTGCCTTAAGGCACGATGCCATAATTGCCTCAAGACAGAATTCCACTTACAGCTAGTTAAATTTTTGTATTGTATTTTAATAATATTAATAAACAAGTGGTAAAAAATGGATAGTAAAAACATCAATTGCTTTCTTTTACGACTCTTTAAAAATGTTGAGCAACCCCCCTTTATGTTGAGCAATCTTTCGCTTGGTCTACAGAAGTTGAGGTTGACCAAATCAAAGATATAATTAAATAATGCCATTTAACTAGTCGAGAGGATGCAAGAAGTGCATATAACAATTGAAGAACATTTAAAATGTCTTGGTCAAATTAAGAAGTTCCATATGAGGATTGTGGATACCTTACAATTGAACATAAGGATCAACTATCGCCTTCTAAAAACCGGCTCCTTTTCAAAAATGATCATGGCTGGTGATAAAAGATATGTTTTGTACAGAAACATAGTTAGAAAATAATTATGAAACAAATTTTTTGAACCAACACAGACCACATCGAAAACTTTGCATCAACAAAAATCACCACGACATATTGGAAGTTAATTTATAAGATTACAAAGGTGATGTACCGAACGATCAATTCTGATTTTCATGAAAAAACACATTCAGAATTGCCACTGACCACACACATCTTTGGCAACTCGTGAGAAAAACCATTGGAGCTTACAAGTGATATTTTTTTATTCTAAACCATTGGAGCTTGTAAGTGACATTTTTTATTCTATTTTCAAAGGACCAAATCATTGGATTTTGGAAGTGATAATTTTAAATCTATTTTCAAAGGACTAAATGCTAAATTCTGATGTTTTCTATTAACAATTAATAAAACTAGATAAAACAATCAAAGAAACGTCCAGGAAAGGTGTACTAGCCTCACAAATCTTTAGCAACTCCTGAGAAAAACCATTCGAGCTTGGATGTGATATTTTTAAATCTACTTTCAAGAGACCTGATGATAAATTCTGACGAATTCCATCAATTGAGAGATAAAACAATCAGAAACGTCTAAGAAAGGTAACTTCGGCAACTTGTACCAAAAATCATTGGAGCTTGGAAGCAATATTTTTTATTCTATTTCCAAGGATCAAAATAATAAATTCTGATGCATTCAGTCAACAATTAATAAAACTAGATAAAACAATTAGAGAAACGTCCAGAATAAGTGCACTGCCCTCACAAATCTTTGGCAACTTGTGAGAGAAATCATTGGAGCTTGCAAGTGATATTTTTTAAAATCTACTTTCAAGAGACCGAGTGATATATTCCTGATATACTCGTAAGAAAACCATGATTTTTAATCTACTTTCAAGGGACCAAATGAAAAAATATGATGTGTTCTATCAACAATCGATAAAAATAGATAAAACCATCTAAAAAACGTCCAGGAAAGGTGTACTAGCCTCACAAATCTTTGGCAACTCGTGAGAGAAAGCATTGGAGCTTGCAAGTTATTTTTTATTTTATTTCCAAGGAACAAATGATGAATTCTGATGTATTCCATCAATTGATAGATAAAGCATCAGAGACGTCCAGAAAAGTCGCACTAGCCTTACAAATCTTAAGCTACTTGTAGGAAATTATTGGAGCTTGGCTTGAAAGTGAAATTACTTAGTTGCCAACCTCTTATTACTTTAATATTATTTATTGATGAGTATATTTTTACATAAATATTTCACTGATAATTTATGAGGACAAACAGGAAAAATAAAAAATTCTAAATAGCACGTCAAATACTTGAATAAAGGAAAATAAATATTTTGGCGTTATTTCTGATTTGATTAACTTTTTTATTTATAAAAAAATTAAAATTTGTAAGTTATGAAAATTAGTCTTGAAATGTGTTGTAAAAATGCATAATAATAGTTTTGATCTTCATAAAGATTTCTACAGCAAATCTTAATTCACTTTGCGTCGTATTTTTAGCACAAAAACTCGACGCAAATAAGAAAATCTTATTCTTTTTAAAAATCATCATTCATAAAAAATGTTACACAAAAATTTTATACTGTGCTTCATTTTACAAATCCTTAGAAATTCCAAGACTTTAAAAAAATCCGTCAAACAAAATCTGATTCGCGCATAAATTTCAATCTTTGAAGTTACCTCCATCACCAATATTTACAAAAATATTTTCTTACCTTATAAGACTATCCAGCAATCTCACCGTAGTCCTGGATGCATCCCGATACTGGCTCATCCTCTTGTATTGATAATAAGCTGACAAAATCAATTCGGCTTCTTCAGTCATCACAGGATTTATATTTTTTATGAACTCAAAGTACGATTTAAACATTTTGACTGTCCATTTTTCACTGTCAATCACCGAAGTCTCAAAATCACTTTTCTCTCCAAAAAGAATATGATCGGCCACTAGACTATCCCACTTTGCGTCATGCAGATCTTTTAGGATAAAAATTAAATCAAATCTGAAAGGAAAAGGAAATTAATCTCATTCTGCTTCTTAGGTAAGACAATTATTTTTGTTATTTTGTATTTACCTGCTAAGTAAAGGTGGTGCTATTACGATATTGGCACTAATGCTATCAATCTGATTGTATCTTTTCCTCGGATTAGCTGCAGCTATAACTGAACACCTAGTGCTCAATTTGCACACCATACCAGCTTTGGCGACACTGATTGTCTGCTGCTCCATTGCTTCATGTATGGAAGCTCTGTCTTGCTCCTTCATCGAGGTGAATTCGTCCATGAAGCATACTCCACCATCACAGAGTACTAGGGCACCTGCTTCGAGGGTCCATTCGCTGGACTCCTGTAAAGAAAAGAATTGAACACAGAATAAGTAAAAACTAGTGGTGTATGGTACCTTAATGCAAACTGCTGAAACTTCCCGTACCGTAATGAAATATTCGAGGAATATGAAAAGTTCTCAAATATATTATTACAAATACTGTAGCTTTCATCATTTTTGCTATCTTGTTATATCTAAGCAAATCAAATGTAAATCCTAAATCAATTTATCTCCAGAATAAAGATTAATAATCGTCATTTCATTTCGAATTCAATTTCAAAAAAATAGTTGCACAAAAATTTACACAAAATTGAAAAAGTGCTCCTGTATAGTCACAGTCTAAACGCATTTGCAAATAATTCTGTGCGTAATTTTCACTTATACTGTGCTTGGCTTGGCGGCATTTTCACATTTTTCAATATTTTTCACAAAATTGAAAAAGTGCTCCAGTACATACATAAACAGTCTAAACGCACTCGGGTAAACATTTGTACCAGAGTGGCGCTTAGACTGTGCCTAGCCTGGGTAATTTTTTGAATTTTTAATCCAAAATTACAAAAATATTTTATGGAAAAAAAAGTAATAATTTTTTATCCTCAAAAGCAATTGTTTTGTCAATACGAGCAGAAAGTTTTTTAGATCATTCAAATCGGACGCTTAGTTCACTCAAAAATGCCATTTTTTTCACATTTAGCTCTGCATCTTCAAAATGGCTGGGCCTGCCTTTGCCAGAAACTAATCACCTCTTCTCCCAATCATTACACATTGAATGTTTTTTTAGATCATCCAAATCCGATACTCCGTTCTCTCAAAAACTCGATTTGTATTTTCTGCACTCTTTGCTCCGTATCTCCAAAACGGATGGACCTGCCTTTGCCAAAAACTATCAGCACATCTTCCTATCAATAGGAATCGAATGTTTTTTAAACCATTCAAATCGGTTGATCCGTGCGCCCGAAAACGTGGACGAAAAAATGCGGACATACAAAACACACACATCCATTTTTTCTGAAGTATGCCAAAATGTTGAGTAACCTTCAAAACGTCGAAAAATGCAAAAATTTTCATTTTCGATTCTCGCCCCATTACTATAACTACCCTACCTGAAGTTATAGATAGAATATTAATTTTAATAATAAATTTTAATTACCCATACAGCAGCTACAGTTAAACCAGCAGATTGAACCAATTCCTGTTGTTAGCACAGATCTGAAATGCAAATTAAAATTATTACAATAACAGATTAATTTATGACACAAATTGTTCTTACCTCGCCACTAATTTCTGTGCAAACTTCAACAATTCAGACTTTCCAGTCCCCGGATCTCCAACGAGTAACAAATGTGACTGCCCACGTACCGAAACATCACTACCTTTGTCTTCCTGCGACGGAGTTCTTTGTGTAGACAAAAATTGGGAGCACCTTACCGGTTCATCTTCATTCGTAGTATATTTTGTGTTGAGCTGCTTCGAGTTATTTGAATTTGATGTGCCTCCTATTATTGTAAGAACGACTGCCAGTTTTTAATACATTCCATACAGCTAAAAGTGAAACAAATTGATAAGAAATTACATATTGTTTAAATAATGTTTTATTTTATTACCTCTGGGCAAAAATTATTTATTATCATCCCTCGCTTGCAGCATTTTACCATTCTCCCGGTGATCAAACCAAAATTTCTTAATCCAACTGTCTGTGGCTGTTTCTGTTTCCACATCATTATCCTGTTTAGTAACAACTGTGACAGAATTTGCTCTTATAGACAGCGACACATCTAAATGTCTGTTCACAGTGATGTATTTCCAACGTCTTTGCACAATGCCACTGAAAGTAAATAAAATAATGATAAATGAGATGTACTAATGTAAAAATACAGTTATTAATCGAATTAATTACCACACAATTATGTCATCTCCAGTTTGACAAGTATCGACTAAATCTTCTCCTAAACTGATCCATATTGTTGCAGGTAATGAACCGACACCTTGATGACCCATTTGCTCCTAAATATTAGATTTATGAGAATATTGTCTAAATAAGAGTGAATTAGGTTCTGAAACAGTTAATTAGGTTGTGCCAGGTTATTTTTATATTTATTCAACATTTCAAACATTTGTTACCAAATTTCTCTTATTTTGCTATTTCCAACCAAATGTAACCGGTCTATTTTTGGCCCCCATAAATACACATTTTTTTTACTAATTTTGATGTTACTTTAAACATTAAATCAGTAATTTGGATTTTCTAACAATTTGTCCTTCAGAAAGTTATAACATTAGCAATCATTTCTTTAATATACCTGAATCTTCAACTCCTGATAATCAATACAGTTCTCGGGTCCAAGTCTATTTTCATCAAAACTAACATTTTGGAAGACTTACATTGACCTTCAGGATTTTTACACTTGGTTATCGGCTCAATTAAATACATTTTGCTACAATTTGCATGAACTGTCTCAACATATTACACCGAAGACATTTGTAATCTCTTTTAATCTCTAACATCCTTGCTTGGGTCATTCTTATCACAGTACCTATAAATAAAATATATAAAATATATAATCAATATAATATATAATAAATATATTATATAAAAAATAATATATATATATATATATTATATATATTATATATAATAAATGTGTATAATTATACCTTTGAATTGTATAAACTTTTCAAAATCCTTTTCACTAGGAAAGAATTTGTTGTCGCATTCATTATTAGCATACAAATTTTGAAATCTGACTCGGACTTTGGATTTTACTCTCATCATATATATTCTAACGCCTTGAATAGAATTTAAGAGTTCTTGCTGTGCTGCAACTAGAGCTTCGTTCCATATTTTAAACTGAGGCTAGAATGCAAGAGGAGACTTGACGCTAAGACTGGAGCGCTGTTGTTCAATCTGCAAAGCTGGAAAATGGAATAGAAGGAATAAATAATTGATAAAGTTTGCAAGAGTTAACATTAGTTTTACAAGTTTCAGCATTCAAATACAACATAAAGGTGTACATGATATATTTCTTTGGGAAACTTCTGATTTTTGTGTAAATAATTAACTTAATCATAATGAGGTCAATATATCTTCTTTATAAGAATAACTGGTTTTATTTTCGTTACATAAACCATGCAAATATTTAAGCTAAATGCTTGAACTAAGAGTCGCAGACATTTTTCTATGACTGACTTAAATCTAAATGTATTTAAGTAGATATTTGTAAAGCTATACGTATACATTTTTCTACTCATATAGAATGTTTTGTCAGTCTGCATTTAGTCAAAACAATTAAAAATGATGAATGCATAAATCAAAGCAAAATACAAAGACTGTCCCTTATCTCAATTATCATTACAATTGTGATTTATAATTCAAACTAACGTACTTTACGTGCAGTGAAAAGTATTTGGTGTCATCATCATGTTCCAATATAGTTTCAATATCTTGTCTATGAAAATTTAACAAAAACTCTTCCATTATACTCTAAGTGCACCTTTTAACTAAAAAAATACATATTATTTTTTTGCACAAAATGTAAATTTAACCTCACAAATTTTCGTTAAAGTTTTGACAGTTCTGGACGTAACGAGATGCAAGAGACAGGAGGGTAACATGATAGGAGACAACATGTAAGGGAAAATTAATTTAAAATATAAATATATATGATGACGATATATTTAATTTGATAATATATAAAATATATTCATAGATAAACAAGTATAAATAAGCATATATTGATCTAACTAAAATAAATCGAGTATGTTTTAATATTTTCGAAAACATTAATTTGAATATTAGTTTTTTGTATTTGCCGCTGACATGTTGAAGCTTAAATAACCTGCTAGGTTGGCAATCGTTCTCTCAAAGTTTGTGTTTGACAATTTACTTTCATTAAAATTGCCGACGAAATTTATTCTCAAAAAAAATATATATAAAATATGTTGCTTATTTAATTTACATTCTATAAACAATTATTTATCTAATTACAATTATCATGGAGACATTACTCGAGCAACAGCGACGTTACCACGAGGAACGCGAACGTTTAGTCGATGCAATTGTTAAGAAATGATTTTCAAGAAACAACAGTACGTGACAATATAAATTCCGATCACAAGATTAAAAATGCTGCTAGATCCCCACATGAACAGTACAAAAATCTAAAAGAATTATACGAAGATAAAGACGGCGCCCGAAAAGATGAAGTCGCTGCTCTGTCAGGCCCAAACGAGTTCAATGAATTCTACAACCGTCTAAAACAAATCAAAGAGTTCTACCGAAAGCACCCACACAGATAAGTGTCCCCCTTTGCGTAGAATTCGAAGAGTTAGATAACATGCGTAATAACACCTCAGAAGAA